CCTTGAAAAGTTGAAACCACTTGATCATATGTGGCTTTTAGAGTAATATCGTTCCTCGAAATTTCGTGTTCCACAAAATAATGTGACCCAAATTTGTCCATCACAATCAAGAACAGTAGTGAGGTCAATAATATATGCTGCAAAATTTGCAAATATCCATTATTTGGGGAATATTCTTTTCTTGTGGGTTGTGGGCATCCACGCTGACGATGACATTTATCAATTGTCAAAAAATTCATTCTTCATATATTGTTTTTTTGCGACTTGAGTCGTATAGATTATTATGCATCAAGTTTCTACCTTTGTTTCTTTATGAAAGGCAAGTAATAGTGTAATCAAATCCGTTTCCAAAATGCTAGTTATGAAAAACAACGGACCATGTTTTGAATATAAATGATTCATAAAATAATATGGTAACATAAAATTTTGAAAAACAACTATATAAACTCTTATTTACCAACACTCATTTACAAATCGATATACAATTTAGATGTTAAATCAATTATTACAATTTACAATCAACTATTCGTCAATATAATCAACTATACGTTATCAGCTATCAACTAGTAATAGGTAAACACGTATAAATATGTCTCATATCTCTTCAAAATATATCTATCTTACTAATAAAAAAGTTTGATCGATTACAACTACATGCGATATATTCTCTCAATTTGGAGTTTTGGACACCACTAAATTTCTGTATAATATTTGGAACTGTATATGTTAGGTCAATTAATTTAACTTACTCACTTACATATTCCATGTATAAGTTGTATCTAATCTAATTTGTCTAAAACAAAAGTGATCAATTAAGTTTTAAAATTATTTGTCTTTAAAATATCGTATAGGCCTTTGAGTAGAAACTAATGAGTCTTTTCTATTTTAACTATGGACTAAAATGTATATAAAGGGTCGTGCTCATAACATCAAAACTCTTCTGCAGAGGTTACGGAAAAAAGCTAAAGAGTTCTCGTAAAGGTACGCTTCCACTGTTCAGTCTCGATTCTCAATTATTCAATACGAAAACTCTTGGATTAAAGTGATATGTTTTGCCTAAAGTTAAATTCCAACAAGAGGTTGTTGAGAAAGTGGAAACAGAGGATTATGTAAAATGTAAAATTGGCAGATGAGCTTGAAAATGTTTCCCCTCTTGAGATCATGGATGAGGCCCTCGAGATGTTTTTTTGGGCTCAATTGAAATTATGTTATTACGTAAATAGTATCTAAAGATTCGATATTTAAGTGTACTTTTGAATAATTATGGGGACCCTTATGTGATTAGTCTTTGACAAGAATGGTATTCTTATATGTGTACACTAATACTGCTTGAGAATGTCTTGTTTTTTAGTGCTTCAAGTTTGTCTTGTTGGGTGGTGTGTTTATCTAACGAGGAAAAGAGTGAAAATTGAAAGTGTGATATATCACCAGTTATTTTTGTGTCACAATTCACAACTAAGTAAATCTTTGAGATTTGCAAAACAAAAAAAAAAAAAATATGCATCAAAAATCCATTTGAACTTGGTCACAAAGCTTCTACATGTCGTCGAAATTAATGGTTGTCCTATGATCCTATCCATCAGCTCAAGAAGGGATTTAAGTCGCTCCCTTAGATCAGCTTTCATCGTTCAGTGTCTTGACATGTTCTGATCTTATGTTTTAACAAAAGTAACTTTGTTTCGCTCTGCAAAAGATATTAGAGTACTTTGCTCTTTCTATTTTTATAACCTCTTAAACATTTTTTTGGGATGCACCATGGTCAAAAGAGCTCAAGCGGTGTGTCAGTGGATACATGTGAATATGTGATAGAATTGCAATTAAAGATACAACAGATTGGTATTGTCTGAATGAAAATCTGAATTCTGAATTCTGAATGAAAACGAAACGAAGAAGCCTAAAGACTGAGAGGCCGCACACATGCTTTTTCCCATTCCCCTTACAAATTGGTATTGTCAAAATAATTTATTTAATAACTAAAATTTGCCTGAAATTTATAGAATAGACACTGACTGAAGGATTCGTAGATTTTACTTAAGAAGTAAATTATTTTGATAATACAGATTTGAAGGGGTAAAAAACATGTGCGATTCTCCATTCTTTTTAGGCATCTTGTATCAACTCATGAATGACTTCGCTTTCATTCAGATTTTTATTCATCTGTCGTATTTTTATTATTCATGAGATTGCAACTCGAACGTCCTTGTCTATCTCATGTATTAACACACGCGCTTGNAGAAATAGTGAAGTTATACTAAATCATTTTTGAGTAAAGTTTTGACTTTTGAACTTGACTCTAATTGGAAATTATAAGCCCAATTCGATTTGTACAAACATATAACAAAAAATGTGAACATATACTCACGGTTACAATATTAATTAGGATGGTACTTGTACGTTTAGAAAACACGATATGAAGGCAATTAAAATGATTAGCACGATGGACTAGAGCATCTCTAATGGTTTATGAATTGTTCTTTGTCATGTGGCATAATTAATCTTAGGATAAATAACTTTTTGCCATCCGAACTATCATGATTTTGGCGCTTTACCATATAAACATTTTTTTTTTTTTGCAAACCATCATATAAAGTGTGCGAGTTTGTCAAATTGCTTCTTATACCAGGTTTAAGCCCGGTTTCACCTCATTCAAACCGGTTTTTTGAGGCCATTCTAGGAATTAGATATTTATAATAATTAAAAGAATAAATAAAAAATAAAGAAAGATGAAGAAAACCATGTATTGACGAGAATTACATCGAGTTGAAGAAAAATGAAAAAATGAAGAAAAATATTAAGCAACCCCTCTCCATCTCCATCTCCATCTCCAGTGTCCATCTCCCGACCTCTAATTTCAAGCTCGAGCGCGAGCTGGGGCCTGACGTGAATTACATCGAGTACAGATTGTTCCGGCTGAACGAATCCATAGCCGCCGCCGCGTCGTCGAGCCGAAATTGGGGAAATCGAAGAAGAAAAGTCCGAATCCTCCTAACCCAAATTCTTCTTCTCCAAGCCTTGGGTCATCGACATTGAGGACCTCGACGACGGTGTATTTGATGCGGTTCTCGAGGCCGAGGAGGAGGTCGGGGTTGCTGAGGCCGACGTCTGCGTCAATAGCCACGGTAAAGAAGCAGAGGCGCACGAGGGAGAGGTGGATGTTGGTGGTGGTGCTGGTTTTGTCGCCTTTACCGGAGGTAATGGGTTTTATGGGATACTCCTATTGTTTATCCGATGTCCGAATTGTGGATTATTCNAAAAACAAGTCTTTATTATCTTGTCCTGATTATGTTTGGGATTTCTGTGATTGAGATGGAAAAAAATTATGGAAAAGAAATAGCGGCTTTGACTTTTCTGTTTATGTTTGGGATTTCTGTTAACTCTTGAATTAGGAAAATTATGTTGTTGCCTGAGATGGATTTTTATTTTTATTTTTTTCCGGCTGATAATACCAGACACGAGGGTCTCGTGGGAGAGCTGCGGCTTGCGGTTGTGCTGGAGGAGGGCTCAAATTGGGGGGGCGGCGGCGAGGATTCGAAAATGTTATTGAGGGTTAGAGCATCTCCAGTGTAGGAATGTCAATGTCAAATGTTCATGCCACGTGTTTGTAAATAATTGGATAACTTATCCTTTTTAATATCAACGTTGACAGTGTAAATAACAACATCCAAATACTTGGTACAATGCATACTTTCTTTTGTACGGGATTCTGAGTCATACTGTCAAAGAGACTGTTTGGTTTCAAACAGTGGGTTTCACTACTGTCAAGCCACATCAGATAAAATTAAACCACGACAGAACCCATTGGAGAGAAAAAAATAAAGACGGTGTTATGTGGCACATATTTTTTGGACTCTAACAGTCCGCACTGGAGATTCTCTTAGTCGATGATGGTGGTTTCAAGCAGAGCTCCGAATTTTCTTTTCTTTTTTTTTTTTTAAATTAAAAAATTAAAATGAATTAAAAATGGGTTAGTAGTTGTGAGAATTTGATAAAGAAGTGGGGTTGATTTGTTATTTTTGAATAGTCTATAAATTATGATTTCATCCCTTGGGTACTTTTGCAATATTTTAAAATTATTAATTCCTGAAATACCCTTGTAAAACAGCTTTTGCACTACAAAACTACTTTAAATATGGTTTTGGAGGACAAAGTGTAAAAAACGTGCAGTTTATATGGTGGTTTGCAAAAAAAAAAAATGTTTATATGGTAAAGCGCCATATTCTTGATAGTTCGGATGGCAAAAAGTTATTTACCCTTAATCTTAGAGCATCTCTAATGCTCTACTTTGAACATTAATTAAATTTCAACACATGTCAAATGATGAATGGAATGTAAATCCATGTAATATGAATGTTAAAAGAGAATACTTTAATTTGGAATACACATCTCCAATGCATCCCTTTCAAAACCTTAAAATATGTTAGATTTTTGATGAGTTGGCTTTCAAACACTCTTTGGAAAACTAGAAAGTGGGCTTCACACTTTGGATATTTATTGTCTCCATGTCAGCATAAAAGAGTCCATAACATTATGGATTGGAGAGTAATTTTTGTAATCACTTTATAACTTGATGATGTGGTTAACATTTTATTAAGTCAACATCTCACATTGGAGATGCTCTTATGTGACACTAAAAATGTCTAGAAGTCTTTCTATGTTTAGAAGTACTTTAGACATCATCTATTATATTTTTTATTATTTATTAAATATAAATCTCATTCCCAACCAATTATTACCCTACACATGTCAAATTATATTAAAATTGACATTTACCATTGGAGACAAAATTATATAATTCTCTTTCTCCATGTTATACATCTCTAAATGGACAATACACCATTAGAGATGCTCTAGCTCTTTACAGCGTCTACTACAATTTTTTATTTTTTATTTTTAACGTCGTATAACAATGCAATATTTAAAATAAAAGACAAACTATTCAGAAACAAGTTATTATAAACAAAAAAAATAATGTAACTTAGAAGTCAATGACAATAAACAATAAATTATAATGTAAAAATTAGTATATTTCCAATTAAATAAATAATTTGGTAAATGTGCAGGTAAATTGTCACAAAACTGTCGAGAGTTGCTAGGATAATTCCAAGGGCCCGTTCCGCCTGAGGTCATTATTAAGCGGATTGAATTGTATATAATGAAAAATGATATATGAGATAAATAAAAATTCAGTACTTGCATGGGTCGTAGTTGCTAATAGTAGGACTGTTGTTAACTAGTCTTAGATAGTTATAGTTTTTGATATATATATATATATATACATATCTTTTATTGAAATATCTTACTTAGAATTACCTATAAGATAAACAAAGGTATAACATTTAATCCATAGTATAAATATATATTATAGTTATATTCTAAAACTATAAATAATTTGGAAATTGTCTAGTATTATATTAGTAGTTTGGTGATAGTGGTTGAGTCTTAAATTTCTTATTTGATTATTTTGAAATCACTAACAATTGCTTTCGAAATGATTGTAAAACCCTAGATTAGTAGAGACGACAAAGTGTCATGTTACCTTTTGACACTCTTTAATCATCATTACTCTTTAATTGGATATTTAATTGCCTAATAAGAATAAAAAACATTGAACCATTTGACTCTTGGTGCCTTGGTGGTAATGTTGAGTCTCCACTTTTATGTAAAAAAAAAAAAAAACTAAAGATATTTTGTCATAGTTGGACGAATAGGGTGCTATTCAATGAGTTAGAAAAAATTATAAAATTGAAATAATCAAACAAATGTGTATATTTTCCAAACAAATTATGCGCATTCATACTGCGGATCGTCATATTTTTATTCAAACAATTTTTTTTTTTCTAAATTGTGATATTTTAGTTAGAAAATATAAATAGTGGATGAGATACGTAGAAATGATGGGACGAAGAATAAACACTTGGGATTTATGATATGACTTACTTGAAAAGTTGAAACCACTTGATCATATGTGGCTTTTAGAGTAATATCGTTCCTCGAAATTTCGTGTTCCACAAAATAATGTGACCCAAATTTGTCCATCACAATCAAGAACAGTAGTGAGGTCAATAATATATGCTGCAAAATTTGCAAATATCCATTATTTGGGGAATATTCTTTTCTTGTGGGTTGTGGGCATCCACGCTGACGATGACATTTATCAATTGTCAAAAAATTCATTCTTCATATATTGTTTTTTTGCGACTTGAGTCGTATAGATTATTATGCATCAAGTTTCTACCTTTGTTTCTTTATGAAAGGCAAGTAATAGTGTAATCAAATCCGTTTCCAAAATGCTAGTTATGAAAAACAACGGACCATGTTTTGAATATAAATGATTCATAAAATAATATGGTAACATAAAATTTTGAAAAACAACTATATAAACTCTTATTTACCAACACTCATTTACAAATCGATATACAATTTAGATGTTAAATCAATTATTACAATTTACAATCAACTATTCGTCAATACAATCAACTATACGTTATCAGCTATCAACTAGTAATAGGTAAACACGTATAAATATGTCTCATATCTCTTCAAAATATATCTATCTTACTAATAAAAAAGTTTGATCGATTACAACTACATGCGATATATTCTCTCAATTTGGAGTTTTGGACACCACTAAATTTCTGTATAATATTTGGAACTGTATATGTTAGGTCAATTAATTTAACTTACTCACTTACATATTCCATGTATAAGTTGTATCTAATCTAATTTGTCTAAAATCAAATTTAAATACGGAAATTTCCAAACACAACCGTGACTAGTGAGTCCCTACCACGATTTCCCTCTAGGTGGACCTTTGCTCGACACGTCGACCCCAAACCAATCATATCCCGCCACGTCGGATCACAACCTCAGACCAAAAACACGTCCACATTCAATGAACCTGACCAGGCCTTTCCCTGTCCCTTCATTTCCTCCTTTTATGTAGCTTTCTGTTTTGTCCTCCACAGAACACACGCACTCATACACACACAGTGCAGCCCATTAAAATTGAGCTAAAAAAGCTTCCAAATTCACTAGCAAAATCTCGTTTTACTGGTTTTTGTATATTTTTTTTTTCCCAAAAACTACGAAGAGGAAGCGAAGTATTTCAGCAATGGCTTTCTCCGTTAGCTCCGCCGTCCACAGCTCGTCTGTATCCTCTCCGTTCGAGCAGCAAATCAGAGGTAACGCTGTGTTTTCATTTTGTTTTTTAATTTGGGAATCTACCCATTTCATCATTTTCGATTTTTTTTTTCTGTGTGTTGATCGTGTTTGTTTTGTCTGTAACACTCCAGGTGCTCAATTGGGGTTGTTTCAGCCGTTGGATCGGCCCCATTTCCAACCGAAGGCGGCGAACTTGTGCCGGCGGCGTTGCGCCGTGGCTCCGCTGCACGCGGCGGAGCAGAAGCGGAGCGATTCGATTGTACCGTCCGCTGCTACCTTGTTCGCTCCAGGTTCGCTGAACTTTCTGTGCATCTGATTTTTCTTATTTTAAATAATTTAATTCATTTTAATATCTGAATGTAGTTTAATTGATGGTTATTTTTTCTTGTTTTTCTTTTCTCGTCAATTTTCGACAGAGGTAGTTGAGAAAGTGGAAACAGAGGATTATGTAAAATTGGCAGATGAGCTTGAAAATGCTTCCCCTCTTGAGATAATGGATAAGGCCCTCGAGATGTTTGGGAACGATATTGCAATTGCCTTTAGGTAATTTTCACCGTTTATTGTGGGCTCAATTGAAATCATATTATTACATAAAATAGTATCTAACGATTCGATTTTTCTGTGCACTTTTGAATAATTAATTATGGGGACCCTGGTGTGATTATAGTCTTTGACAAGAATGTTATTCTTATATGTGTACACTAATACTGGTGGGGAATGTTCTGTGTTTTAGTGCTTCAAGTTTGTGTTGATGTGTGATGTGTGTTTAACTGTTACTGTTACAGAATCGAAACAAATGAGGAAAAGAGTGAAAATTGAAAGTGTGATATATCAGTTATTCTCTGTATCACTTAGCTCAAGAAGGCATTTAGAAGCTCACTTAGCTCAGTTTTGATCTCCTGAATTTAACAAAAGTAACATTCTTGATTGATTCCATTAGCTGAAGTCAACCAATTTTTTGATTTCCTTGCTCTGATGTAATAATAATGTTCTTCATTCCCAATCATATGCAGTGGAGCAGAAGATGTAGCTTTAATCGAGTACGCGCACCTAACCGGACGCCCCTTTAGAGTCTTCAGCCTCGACACAGGCCGCCTAAACCCCGAAACCTACAAACTCTTCGACTCAGTCGAGAAGCACTACAACATCCGAATCGAGTACACTTTTCCGGAATCTTCCGAAGTCGAGTCCCTCGTTCGCAGCAAGGGCCTTTTCTCCTTCTATTTGGACGGCCACCAAGAGTGCTGCAGCGTGCGTAAGGTCCGCCCACTGAGACGGGCCCTCCGTGGCCTCCGGGCTTGGATTACGGGCCAGCGCAAAGACCAGTCCCCGGGCACCCGTTCCCAAATACCCACCGTTCAATTGGACCCGGCCTTCGTGGGCCTCGATGGCGGGCCCGGAAGCCTCGTCAAGTGGAACCCACTTGCAAACGTGAGTGGAAACGACGTCTGGAATTTTTTACGTGCCATGAACGTGCCCGTCAATTCCTTACACGCGAAGGGGTACGTCTCGATCGGTTGCGAGCCTTGCACGAGGCCTGTTTTGCCAGGTCAGCACGAGCGGGAGGGTAGGTGGTGGTGGGAGGATGCTAAGGCCAAGGAGTGTGGGCTCCACAAGGGCAACATCAAGGAAGAAGAAAAGAGTTTGAATTTGAAAAGTGGGCCCCACGCGAACGGGCCTGATCTTTTTAAGAGCAAGAATGTGGTTAGTTTGGGCCGGCCCGGAATGGAGAATCTTTTGAGAATGGAGAATAGGAGGGAGGCTTGGGTGGTTGTGATGTACGCGCCGTGGTGCGGGTTTTGCCGGGCGATGGAAGGGTCGTATGATGAGGTGGCGGGGAGATTGGTGGGGTCGGGAGTTAGGGTGGGGAAGTTTCGGGCGGATGGGGAGGAGGAGAAAGGGTTTGCGAAAGGGAAGCTCGGGCTCGGGAGTTTCCCAACGATTGTTTTCTTTCCCAAGCACACGTCGAGGCCCGTTAAGTATTCGTCGGAGAAGAGGGATGTCGACTCGTTGATGGCGTTTGTGAAGGCTCTTTTGTGAGAGAGTCGGAGATTTGAAGAGATTGTAATTTTGTGTTGTTTGGGAATTGGGATTGGGATAGGGTTTTGGGTCGTATGAGCTCAAGCCTTTAATAAGTCGAGCCAAACTTGTCTCTTTAGATAAAAGAGACAGAAGTCGAGTTCGAGTTCGACTCGTTTATTACTATTAACGAGTCGGTTTTCGAGATTTTCACGAGTTGAACTATAAAAAAATTATATAAAATTCTCTTTTTGGGTGGGTGTTAACGAGCTTTATCGAGTCGATCTCGAAACCAAACGGGCTTTAAATGAGCTCGACTTATTATATCATTTTTTAGTAAAGTTATTTTTGAGTAAAGTTTTGGCTTTTGAACTTGACTCAATATCTCGATTTGTACAAACATATAACAAAAATGCCAACATGTGGCAACGATCACAATGAAAAATTAGGACGGTACTATATGTTTAGAAAACATGATATCAAGACAATTAAACGATTAGTACGTACCATACTTTTTTAAGGCTCTTTGAAATTCCAAATTAATACATAAATAAACCATTCATAAAAAGTTCTAAACCTAAAATTAATGTAACTTAGAAACCAATGACAGTAAACTACAATTCATAACATACATTTAGTATATTTATAATTAAATCAAATAATTTTGCAATTAAAATAAATAATTTGTAATGTACAAATGCAAAGGATTTGCAAGTAAATGTGTCATTTTCTGTTAATTTAATTTGGTATCGTATGTGCAGCCATCGTAGAATAATGGATCTAAGATTGGGCCAATCAGGGACTGAATGGGCTCACCACCTGTGTGCTTTGAAGAGGCCCATATATTCTCGATAATTAGTGCTTTGGTAATAAATTGTTCTATAGTAAACTAGTAAATATCATTTTGGACATAATTAAAAAGCTTACAAAAACCGATGCGCATATTTCCATTAATATAAAAAAAAAAAAATGGAAAGAAAAGCATAATTTTCCAGTAATATAAATGGCAAATTATCTATAAATAAATTTAAATTACACTCCACATACACGTTTGCTTACAGCAACATGTGTCACCAGCACTTGGGATGACATCAGGCTTGCCACGTGGGAGAAGGAAGACATCGCCAAGTGTGTGTAAGTGGTGAGCGCGTCATACTATGATTGGTTGATGATGTTGTCTGCGGTTGATTGGAATTAGTCATTTTGAGAGTGGAAATAAAATATGCAAGCTAAAATTGAGTGTGTTTTATTGCAAATTTGCTATGAATGCTTATGTCACCTTTTGAAAGAAATATTTTTGTATGTAAGTAGGGATTTTTTTACTTAAAAAAAAATAAAAAATGAAGTGGACAAAAACAAAACAAAAAAAAAGTTGTGGACAAAAATAAAAAACACGTATTTTCTAAATACGTTTTTTATATAATTTTCATTAAAAGATGTATTTTTTC